TCTTGGAACTGGAATTTCGAAAAATCCCTTCTTATCGGACCTCTACACCCTAGAATCAACCTGTATGCCAAAATTGAGTTTCTTACGTTGAGTGGTTTGAGCAGGATCGTGATTAATCAGTCAGTCACTTAAGGATTTTATATATTAGTATAGATAAATATAAATGTAGCTTTTCCTAATCTAATTTTCAGTAAGAAAAACAGATCTAAAGCAAAAACGAAAATAACATAAACAAGCAATATTTTATTTTTCTGGTTGATATTTTTCCGAACTTTTTTTCCTAAAAGGAAAGAAAAACACTGTACCGAATCGAGCATGAGATGTCGTTTTGAAAAATAACACAGGAAATTGCTTGCTTTATTTTGACATTTCCTATTAAACAGTACCTCTCTCTTAGGAATATATTTCTGCTCCCAGCTTATAAATTTATTGTTGTTGATGTAAAGCTGCGAAAATAAAAATACTCGAAAAATCCTTTCATCCAGTAAAATGGACGATATGAAAAAAAATATTAATTCACAAAAATTAATCTTGAGAGTCCATTTTATTAGTCCGAAAAAAGTAGCAAAATAAACGTTTTATGTCAAACTGGCTAGCTATTTTTACACAAATGAAGAAGGAAATTAAAGATAAAGGATTATACTATATCCGTATTGTAGCACATTTTTAGACAACTCCTTTATTTTTGAGATTTTGATGGTCAAACATCAACAAAATATTCCTTATGTTTGGACTAAATTTTCTCGAAAATAAAGACATAATTTAAAATTCCGTTACAATACGGAAATAGATTGAAGTTTTGTGATTACAGTGGTATATAATTTATATGGTTTTGTAATAAATTGTTTGGCTATTTTATAGCAAATGCTGAAGCTCTGCAAACCTTAATCAAAGCACGTGTGTTTGGAATTTTACGTGTGGCTTAACAGGACAGGATCGGGCTAAACCTTAGCCTTGTTTATAATATATTAAAGTTGCCCAACCGACTTGGGTCAAGATGTCCGCATGCCAGAAGAGGACAATGCGTAAACCCTTAATGTAGTCAAAAAAATCGATTATTTTAAACATTTTCCTCAGAGTAATGAAATAATATAGCCCCGGTTTCTGTGAACTTTAATAGTGATCAGCTGATTAATAAATTTAAACGAAACTTTTATTTTTATTGTAAATTCAAAGTCAATACCTCTGTCGGTACTTAAAGTTCTAAGGAAAGGTGTACGTCATGCGTTCAGCTTCACGATTTAATTACGTCTCGTGATACTTGATTTGTTTATTTATTAACGGGTCGTTGTAATTTTCCCTATAGCTTGAATTTTTTTAAGTGCAAGCTAGAAACACTTGCATTTTTGGTAAAAATAAATGGAATTGAGTGGGTGTTCGATAGTGGTCGCGCTATTAGAACCCTGAATTCAAAATAATAGATTGTAGTTTTTCAAGAACTTTGTTAATATTTCTGCTGTATTTTCTTTGTAGACAGTATGTGAAAATCTTTATCATTATGTATAGTCGATTTTCTGAAAATTGCTATGCTCTTCACTAAAACTAGATGGATAGTTTAGTTTCTTTTGAATGGAAACACAAGCGTATCATTAATTTTTCATTAATTTATAAATAATTAAAATTTCCGATATTGAAAATGTTTACTCGTTTCTACACCACCCAAGAGATAAAGTACATGGCGCGTTTATTTTAACGTGGTCTCCCCGGAGGCCTACTCCACTAGGTAAATTAAAAACTTTAACTTATCTGCACAAGCCCGACGGATCTGGCTCATTGATGTCAAAGTCGATCGAGTCTGCTGTGCTGGGCTCATCAGGGTGGTCTCTCAATACGTCCAACTCTTCATCTTCAGCCGCCAGAGGATATCTACAACGAGCAAGTCCAACTCCTCTTCATCGGATTCATGAGTGACACTTCAGTGACGTTGTCACAGGATTTCCAATTGCAGTATACACAAATCATTGAACATTTTAATCTTTCTGCTTCCGCAGGCACCACAGTTGTTGGTTTTGCGTTTACAGAATAAAAATGCCAATAGGGATTTTGAGCTGGATCTTTCAACGTTGTGATTGGTGTAATGCCTGTTTTGTTTCTTCCAACCCCATTCTTCGGCATATTTTACAACCTGACCAATGCTGAACCTGGTGGTACGTTCGCAATGAATGCTGTCCAGCACGACAATTAATTACCTATTCATAAATTATGAGCGAATTACTGATACGTTTTCTGTTTCATGACAAAATTGAAAAACCTAACTAATACTAGTTTTATAAACTAATTTCAGATGCTCAGAAACATGTCTAATGATTTTATATATTATATTTGAAAAAAGTATTTTAAAAATAAGCGGTTTGCAATCGTGATTTTACTTTACTTGATAGGGAAAGGCGTATCGGCAACGCCGCAACAGCACACCGTCGCGCGTCGCGTCTGTCGGTCGCATTTCTCTCACTCCGACTTAATAAGATCCCTATGCGATTTACTTCCACACATGTAAATGCCGACCCAAAAGTAACAGTTGCCAGCACGGTATATTTCCTTCGGCCACACACCCGCTTTACCCGACCCCTGAGAGCGACCCGTACAGTACAGCGTAATAGACTCTTAATATGCAAGTTAACTATTTGAAAACAAGCAATCAAGAACACATTGTATAAAAGATGGACTAACCAATATACATTGATTTGTTTTGATCCAAAATGTAAACAATCCATTTGTCTGAGCCCCTATGCTTACATAGTTCATTGCGATAGGTATAGTGCAGTAATGCTTAAAAATAAATAGAAAAGTAATATGATTTTAAAAAAATTGCTTGTTTTTATTAAACACCTGATACTTATTTTCTTTTTAATTGTTTATGATAGCTTAATGTACCCAACTGAATTTATGACAAGCAGCTGTCGAATATACACTTTCTCGAAAAAAAAAAAAACGTCATCCAGTTATCTTTTCGCTTTAATAGAACAAAATCATATCGTATTTTAGTCCATTGGCCAGATTTTTTTTAGAAATTTAAAAGTACATTTTTCACATTGATTCTAATATCTTGACAGGCCCCTCTTTACTCGACCAGTAATAATGATACGGCCGACTAAAATTAGAAGTTCTGTGTACTAATTTAAACTCAGAGACCCAAACACTTTAAAAATAGACGTTCTGTTAGGTAAGCAGTGTCATAAATTCGACGAACTCATTTAACAATTTCGATAGAATTAGGTAGGGAAGAAACAAAAAATTGGTAAGGAATTTTATTGCCAATATTAAATTAATTAATGCAAATTAAAAAAAAGTGTGTGATGATTTTGTAGAGAAAGATTTCCTTTTTTCTTTTTTTAGATTTTTTTTTTCATGTATTCATACGTAGGAAAGAGAAGTCATGGCTACGTAACATAAGAGACTAGACCCACACCGATGGAAACACCCTTATCCATCAAGATCTGGACAGGGAGTCATATATGTACATACTATATACTGCCATTACTCGCTGACGAGTATTTGACACGCATCAGAAGATGGTCACGCATGGCGTTTTCTTTCATGAGCTTTTCTGTGACTAAAAAGCTCGATACGTGATGTTATCTGTCTACCGCACTCCGGACATTCAAAAATCTCATTGCTTTGTTGCCTCTTTACTTTTTGGTTGTCGCTGTTAACTGAGTTTATAATTCTTCTCCGTTTCGTTCTATTATGAGCTATTATGAGCCCACTCATTCTGCACATTCAGAATTATAACATGCACAGACTTCTCGAAGGCCTTTGATAAGATGGACCATGGGATTATGGCAGAATTTTAGAATTTAGAATGAGTGGGAGGGGGGTTAATCACTTCGACCTTACAGATCCATTGTGTCCCCCTTTCTTGAATCATAACTCATCGTACAGTCCCAGGGCTTTGACAAAAGCCAGTATCTGGGACGGTTTTATAGAGGGTAGTTCTCCATCTCTAATATCAGTCGTACCAAAATTCATGGCACGAATGGTTGTCGTCTCGGCGCACTCAGTGATGAGGTGTACTGGTGTTTCCCCATCTTCCCCACAGAATCTGCATTCGCCGTTTCTTCTTAGTTTCAATCTACTGAGGTGTTCATTGAGGAGACAGTGTCCTGTTAAAAACCCCGTGACAATCCGAAGATTGTTCTTACTCAGACCTAGGAAGATCTGTGATTTTTATTGATCATAAGCCCTCAGAAACTTCTTCGAGTGTCCTAGACCATTGCAAGATTTCCATTCCAGGTTGCGGATGGAATCTTCCAAGTTCTTGAGTTCCTCCTTGAGTTGGTTACCACTTGGAAAGCAGAACGGTTCTGGTCCAGTTAGTGGAGTGTTCGCTCCTTTTCTACCTAGATTATTTGCTTTTTCATTGCCTTTTATCCCTTGGTGAGCAGGCACCCAGTGTAGGAGGACTTTGTTTTCTTTGCCTAATTTATTCAGCTTCTCTATGTATTCTTTGACCAATTTCGAATTGATTGAGACTGAGTTGATCGCCTTTAACGCTGCTTGACTATCAGATAAGATGGCTATTTCTTGTTTCCGATAGTTCCTATCTAAGATAAGTTGTACGCATCTCTCGATAGCGTAGATTTCTGCCTGTAGGATACTAGGGTAAGTGCCCATTGGTTCGGAGTAATTAGCTCTCGGCCCAACACTCCGATCCCTGTTCCCGTATTGGTTTTGGAAGCATCAGTATACCAAGTTATGGTATGGTCTTTTAACTGCTGGGCAAGCGTTTCGCTCTTCTAATCCTTCTTATTGCTCAATACTACATTGACATGTTTGTCAAAGTTGTACGTTCTTGGCATATCGTCCACTGGGAGTTGCAGGAGTGGTATTTCCTTCTTGAGGGTGTTCCAAGCCCCTGATCTGACAATTCTCCCAGTACTAATTCCGTTAGTGACCATTCTAATCATTGTCGCATTGGCATATCTACCAATGACAATGTGCAGTGGTGTTAGATCTAGAATGACCTCCATTGCTGCTGTTGGACAGGTTCTCATGGCATTTGAGTTGACCTCCGCCACGGAAATCTTTAGTAAAAGGCGAAGGATTTATTCGCTCTGACGGGAGTCCAGAGTCACAGAGAAAATGTCACAAATGGGATTTGATAATAAATTAATAAAGTTCTTTTCCTCATACGTACATCAACGCAAGCAATATGTTGAATATAATGGTCACAGATCGTGTCCCTTTATAGCCACTAGCGGTGCACCGCAGGGCAGCTGTTTGGCACCACTGATATTTTCAATATACATAAACGATATAGTGGCCCAATTAAAGAGCTGTTCGCTTTTATTTGCAGATGATCTGAAGATTTTTAGTGTCGTCCGGTGTAAGGATGACTGCATCCGTCTGCAGGCCGATCTTGATATTATCTCTAATTGGTGCGTGGAAAATCGACATTGCTTTAAACACCTCTAAATGTAAAAAAATGTCCTATTCTCTGAAACGTATTGAACTTGACCACCCCTACACCATAAATAGCACAATCCTGGAAAATTGTGAGCATGTTAAGGACTTGGGTGTTTACTTGGATAAGAAACTGACTTTTAACATACATATTGATGAAGTATTCCGTGGCGCTCTTAAATCTTTAGGATTTCTCCTGAGATCCACAGAAGGTTTCAATAGTCCATTATGTCTAACGGCATTATACATGAGCCTTGTGAAATCAATAATCAATTATGCCTCTCAAATTTGGTCACCAATTCACCAGGTAATTCAGCGTAAATTCCTAAAATATCTCTCGTTCAAACTGGATGGTGTTTTCCCAGAGCGTACTTACAGCTGTTGCAAAGGTTTGATTTTTTATCTATTGAGCAAACTCATAGACTTCACTCTTTATCTTTCCTTTATAAACTTTGTAACGGTCATGCTGACTGCGCTTCGTTATTAGCTCGGCTGAACTTTTCAGCTCCGCTCGTCCGTACTAGAAATCAAAACACGTTCTACCTGTCAAACGTCAGGACTTGTTTAGCCGGTAAGGCACCCCTCTACCGGGCCTGTACTGATTTCAATGATGTTGAGAGCCTGGCATCTGTTGATATATTTGGCGACTCGCTGCGTCAATTCAGGAATGTTTTGGTCCGGCAAATGAAGAATCCTAGCATTTTTTGACATTTTTTATTGTAGTTCGTTAGAATTAAAGGCTGATTCATGGTACACCGTGACGGGCCGGGGCCGTGCGACGGTGAAGGCACGGCCAAACATTGTCAAATGTTATTTATACTTATGCATTCATGCTAAACCGAGCACGGGCCGAGCTTCGCCAAAACGCGTCCGTGCCCCGTCCGAGAAATGTCGGTGTACATTTTTCCTCGGATCCGCTACGGTCCGGCCCCGTTGCGGCAAACATAAATGAGTCGCCCGGGCTAAATACTTCGTTCGTCTACGGGCCTATAGCAACTGTTTTCTAGCAGTGTTGCCGCACCCAACTTTTAGCGCGTACCACATTATAAACTAAAAATGAACCACTTTGGTACAATTTTTTAAAGCACAACAAAATACATCTGCAAATGACTTTAACCGGTTTGGTCGCTGTGAATTTCTTCATAAATTTCTACAAAAAAAAACTTCCTGGAGAAAGACACAAATCGAGACGAAACATGAAATAGAAATTCAGAAAACCCAATTATAAGTATGTATAGGTTGAAGAAATCTAAGTAATTCTAATACTACACAAAATACTTGGAAAACTTAAATTTTATTAAGAAAAAATGCAAATATAGAAGCATGTTAGAAACAGTAAATTTTCAAGTTTTTTCTTCGGGTTATTTAATATAGGCAACGCTATAGACATTACAACGTTTATAATACGTCGTTAATTAATGCGGATTGTCTCCGAATGGTATCGGTAAGCGCGTTTAATTCAATATCAACGACAATAATTATTAAATATCTATTCATTTTCGGTGCGCGTGGGAAATAATTATTGTACCAGATCATCCTGGATTTGAAAATGTAGTACCACTGTACCAAATAGAATTAAAAGTATCAAATTTGGTACAGATGTACCACTGCGGCAACACTGTTTTCTAGAATATAATCGGCACGGACATGATCCCCGTTGTCCACTCGGTGTAGCATATATTGAAGGCCCGGACGTGGCTCGGTGTCTACTTTACGGAACGTGCCCGGCTCGGGTACGGCCCGGTGTACCATGAATCAGCCTTAAGAGTTTTACTTTCACTTTTAAATTTATACTAGGTGTTATTTTTTTAAGATTACATATAGATTGTTATATTTTGCATTGTACTTTTATTGTTGATTTGTGCTTATGTTAGCTTCATTTATTATGAATGTTGTGAATTTTTTAGTGTACACAATTGTCTTTAATTTGGGATATCCTGTTAGACAATAAACTATTATTTATTTATTTATTATATTAATCCCCCGTGGAAAATGTCCTTGTACCTTTTGAGTTGTCCACCCGGCCTCCTCTTACCGTCTACAAGCTTACCGTAAAGCAGAGATTTTGGTATGCGGTTTTCTTGCATTCTGCATACGTGACCAGCCCATCTTAAGCGGGATTTTGTAATCATGACTTCAATACTCTCGCTGTTAGCTTTTTCAAGGCCCGATACGTTTGAGACATGATGGAACCATTTTATTCTAAAGAGTTGTCTAAGATATCTCTGTTGCAACTTGTTTAATGCGTTCATGTGTCGGCGGTACGGCACCCTGGTTTCGCTTACATATAACATGGTGGGGATTATTATTGATCGGTACACTGCAAGTTTTGTTTTTGTGCTCAAGTCATGATTGTAGAAAACCCTGTCTTTTAATTTCCAGAATGCTCTTGATCCTGTGCTGAATTTCAGAGTCGATATTGGCCTTTTCCGAAATCAAACTGCCGAGGTAATTGCATTCCGCCACGTTTTCCAATAGTTCCTCTCCGATGTTTATAGCATTGTTGTGATCTTCCGAGGGAGTGCACATGATTTTAGTTTTATCGATGTTCAGCTAAAGTTTCAAAGCCTCTTATGCCCAGGTATATGTGTCCAACATTTCGTGCAATTGCTGTAACATATTTGCAACTAGAGCACAGTCATCAGCGTATTGAAGTTCTGTGATGAGTTTTGTAGAGAGTCATATCCCATATTAATCGCCAACCTCAACAGAGACCATAGAATAGTAATAATTAAGAACCCCTTTATTACTTACTAGGGATAAAATCTGAAATGTGTAAGATATGCAAAAAAAAACCGGAAAAATCGATCATTGTTATTGATTTTAGTACAAATAGATCGGGACCCCCTCTCCCTCCCCGCTCCTACCAAAAAATAGTTGTATCAAAGAATACATTTTGTAGGTTCATATAATTTAATCAAACTATTGAAAATTATTTCCAATTATTTTTAAAGGTATATTTCATTTACTCCTCATTAATTTTAACTACACCTTTAACTGGACACATTTTTTGAAATTTCCAGTTTATTATTGGACAACCCTGTACATTTTTCTACCATGCTAATATACGAATAAAAGTATCTGTCGCAAAATACCTAAAAATAAATACCACAATCCAAAAATTAAACAGAACAAATCTATCTAGTTTTGAAACTAGTGTCGCGATAAATATAGTTTTTATAGCTATTTTTAACTACATTTGCTAGTAAATTTAACAGTTAATTAACGTTGGTTATTGGAAGTTTATTAGCAGTTATAATTATGTCAATAAGCCATATTAGAAAACTAATGTTCATCGGTCTGTAAATATTGCCGTCAGCAAACAGCCTAATAAAGCAAACAGCCTTTATTCTGTACCATAAATAATTGCTATGTACTCAGTGGGATAGTTAAAACACACTAAATATAGTCTTTATAGCTGTGGTTTAAGCATAATAATTATTTCATTTATGACCTATTAGGCCCCCGTAGAGTTTGTCAACTTTTTGTCAACTTCGATCGAAGCTACAAAAATAATAGAATTAAAAATAAAAAGTTTGAGACAAAATTGGAGTTGCAATTGGACTGGATAGTACATTATGTATATATTTTTATTGTTTAAGTTTAAATATTGTAGGTAAATATTTAAGAATGTTTTTTTTCGGTATACATAATTCACACTTTTAATTTGTACCTATGTATACCTCCAGGATGGTGCACTACATATAGGTACGGCGGTGAACGTGAACGCGTTGGTGTGTGCTAGAATGATCGCTCATGTTATCGCTGCCCTGATCATGATCGTGATCGCGGTCGTGATCGCACCAGTGTGCGTGTAGCTTAAACGAAACTATCTTGCTTGCTTACTTCTTTGAACTACAGAAGAAATTTGTTCCATCATCTATATATGCACTCAGTATTCAATGCTCAACTCAACTCTACAGATCCATAAAAATATTAATATTTCCGAATTTCCAAAACTTATAAATTTTCTTAAAATCACGGGAAAAGATCATAAACCAAGGAAATCAAAAACCCTAGAACAATGATATAAACAATTTCTTGAAAGAAGACCCGGGCGGTGAGTTTTTGTTGATTAAAACGTTTTTTAATTTTTCATTTAATGTTAATGTTAATTTAAATAAATAATTGAATTAGTAATTTATGAATAAAGTTTAATAATTTCTATAAAATGGTGTAGCTTTGAAGTTATTTAGATAGATATATTATTATTATTATTTATAAGATATTATTTATTTTATATGCATGTGAGTAATGTCTGTATAAGTAGTGGCTGTTGGATAGAACATTTTATTATTCTACTATCATTTTAAAGATTATAGAATATTAATCAATCCCGTTAATTCATTTTTAGGTGATATCATCGAATTTTTCGCTAATTTGACGACGGATATTGGCGTGAAAGTGTCGCAAACCAAATTTATCAAATGACTCACTCGATAAATCTGATGCTATGGAAAAGTAGCCAAGTTTCCGCACTGTACCTATTAAAATATATTGTCTTGTTAACACTCTCTGACCTGCGTCACAGCGTTAACTGTTTGAAAAAAATTGATAGATGTATTAGTATATTGACAGTTGTGTAAATAAAAGATGAAACTAGAATTTTACAAAAAGTAGGTACCTATAAGATAATAAAACTATACTTTTTGTAAAATTCTAGTT